TCTGTGAATCCCACAGTCCTTGCTTCATCCCCACGTTCTCCCGCCATAGTGCCAGCAGTGCCCTGGAGCTGGGGGCCATCCCTGCCCTTGACAGTCTCGAGTGGGGGTGGAGGGGGACACCCAACCCAGTCCTCAGAGGTGTAGCGAGCGTGAGAGTTTGTCAGGCTGGGAGGCCTTGGGCAGGGCAGAGAGGGAGGAAGAGCGTCCTGACGGGAGCCGGTCCGACACGCAGCTGGAAGGTGAGGTGAGCAGCGAGGCCACGGGCCCCTGCACCCTCGCGGGCCCTGACCCTAGTGGTGCTGGGGGCCACGGAGGCATTATCAGCAAGAGCATTGGCGTGGGGAAGGGTCTGGGTCTGGTTTCCCTTTTCAGAAATGGCTGGCAGTGCAGAGAAGGGTTTGGGAGGGGCTGTGCTGGAGGCAGGGGGCCCAGGAGAGAGGCAGGTGCCAGGTAGACCTGCCTGCAGAGCTCAGGTGCTGGGGAGGTGAAGGCCTGGGACCCGGGCGCTGCATGGATAGTCTGGAGGGGTGGGGAGCATGATTGGCAGTGCATTCTTCCCAGCCCCAGGCCACGCCTTCTCAGATAGTTCTGCCAGTGTGCGTGGACAGTGTTCGTTGAGCATCCTGCCTCTTGTCCCATTGTGTCCCCACCCCTGCAGGGCCACATAGGGTTCTGAGCACACCAACCCTTGTCTGTCTTTACACAAGGCCGGGAGGCCACAGCCCCAGGACAGTCAAGTGTGGGCGGGAGGGGTGCCCCAGGCGGGTGGGTGGCCCTTGGTGCAGCCTCCGCTCAGGGAGCTGTTCTGTTCTCCCCTGGGGTGCTCCGCTCCCCCAAGCACGCTGAGCCCACACGGCTTCCAAGCAGCCTGCAGGCGGCCTGGGCCTTCCTCTGTGGCCTGGGTCTCCTCTGTCTTCTAGGTCTGTTTCCCCACCTGTAAAGTGGGACTTGGGCTGGCTCTGCTTGGCGGAGCAGGGTGGACCGAGAATGTTGTGACCAGCTCTCGTCCTCACCACCCATAGGCACCACCTGTGCCGTGCCCGGCGCTACTGCCACGACTTGGGCGAGCGCGCAGAGGCACTGCATGCCCAGGTGGAGCGGTTGGTGCAGCAGGCTGGCCGCCAGCCCGACTCCGCCACCGCCCTCTACCACTTCAACGCCTCCCTCTACCTGCTCCGGGTCTTGAAGGGCAGCACTGCCGAGGGCTGCATGCGTGAGACACGGGAGAAGCAGAAAGCCGGCACTGACCCCAGCCCCGTGCCCACCGGCCCGCAGGTGAGCAGGGCCTGGCCCAGGAGCAGCCCCAGGCATTTCACAGCCAGGGAGGGGAGGCCGGGACTTCCCCAGGGCCCAACCCTCAGCCTGCTGAAGGGAGGCCAGGCTCTGCCCCCGTCCCAGGGACCCCTCTCCTGGCGTCACCCAGCCCTCTCTCGCTTGGCCTAGGCTGCCAGCTGCTTGGACTTGAACCTGGTGACCCGGGTGTACTCATCAGCGCTGAGCTCCTTCCTGACCAAGCGCAACAGCCCCCTCACAGTTCCCATGTTCCTCAGCCTCTTCTCCCGGCACCCGGTGAGTGTTGGGGCCTGCCCTGCTGACTCAGGGTCCCTGCTCAGCCCAGCCTGCACCTCACAGCCCTTGTCACTCCCCACCAGGTTCTCTGTAAGAGGCTTCTCCCCATCCTGGTCCAGCATGTCACAGGCCCAGTGCGGCCCCGTCATCAGGTAAGAGGCTTCCCAGCTCCCAGCCCAGGGCCTGTCTGAATTAACCCACTTAACCCTCTTCTGACTGGATATTGTGAGGCCCCAGAGCGCTGCCCTGGTGAGCACGGGCACAGCCGTCCCTGCCCTACTGGCCTGACTGTGGTACACGCTCTCTGATGGGGGTGGCCATGCCCTGGCCCCTGCCACACCTTGAACACAGAGGAGCAGAGGGGGCAGGGCCGGCCTCATTCCCGCAGCCACTGCTGCCCGTCTTGCCACACAGAGGACGCCCCTGGTAGCATCTGCTCAGGTGCCAGGGCTGTCGGGCAGGCTGGAGGAAGATGGCATTAAGCCAGTAATGGGCAGGAGTTGTCCCAACCTGAGGTCCCACCTCTGTCCAGCCGGGAGGTCTTGGTGTCCCCCACCTGCACACGAAGGCCTGGGAGCAGGTGGCCACAAAGCCCAGAGCAGCAGGCAGCCTCGCACGCTGCCCACGGCAGCGCCCGGCAGGCCCCGAGCCCTCATGTGTCCCTGAGCCGTGCGCACCCAATGTGCCGAGGCTCCTACCACCCACCTTTGCCCAACCACAGGCCTGCCTGCTGCTCCAGAAGGCCCTGTCCCTGCGGGAGGTGAGGTCGTGCTTTGAGGACCCCGAGTGGAAGCAGCTGATGGGCCAGGTCCTAGCAAAGGTCACTGAGGTAACAACCGGGGGCGCCCCTTTTCCTACCCCCTCAGAGTCAGTTCTCTGGGAGAGTTCTCCGATCTCTGGGAGAGAAGTGAGGATTGGAGCCTGAGTCGGGAGTGGGGGGGAACTGGGGTTGTCCCAGGAGACGGTCCCTGCCTCTGGGCCCTAGTCCCGGCGGGGAAACAGAAAGGCTTTGAGCCGCTCTCTGGAGCGCCTCAGCCTGGCCACCCTCCCCTAGAACCTGCGCGTGCTGGGGGAGGCGCAGACCAAGGCGGAACACCAGCAGGCACTGTCCTCCCTGGAGCTGCTCAATGCTCTCTTCAGGACCTGCAAACAGGAGGTGAGGCAGGGGCCCAGCCTGGGGTCGTGTTGGGGTTCCTCTTGGGGGCCTCGGGGCCCCCAGGGCAGCAGTCCCATGCCCAGGCTGGACTGCGGGGAGGGGGGTCACGTGGAGAAACTTCGGAGCGCCTGGGCCAGGGCTCTGGATTGTCATTTGGGCAGTTACCGAACCATGGATGGGTGAGTGACTTAGGAAGGGACTGTGCCACCCTGTCCTCCTCCTGCAGGGCGGGGTGAGAGGGTGTGGTGCTGTCACATCCACTGAGAAAGCCGAGAAGGGGCTGGCAGGGCTGGAGACTGTGGAAGGGTTGGAGAACATCCAAGGGTGGGCAGCCAGGTTTCCAGGCCTGGTGCAGGGGTGTGGGTGGCCATCAGGGCAGGGCCAGGAGGCAGCTGGAGGTGGCCATGTGGGTCCCCTGGTCTGGCCCAGAGGGCAGGGTTTGGGAATCTTCAGCATGGGTGCTAGCAGCCCTTGTGGAGGGGGAGCTTGCCACCGGTGTGCTGGCAGGCAGAGGCGGGGCCTGGGATGGGGCCTCGATATCACTGGGTGATAGTGAGGAAGTCGGGAGAGCAGGGCTCCTGGGAGCCAGAGGATTCCAACAATAACCCTTCAGGATGTGCAGGAAGGTGGCAGGGGTGGGTGGGGAAGGGCTCTGGCAGCCCTGTGGTGATGGAGTGATGGGGAGTGGCCCTCTTGGAGGTGGGCGGGCCAGGGCCACTGCTGGAGGGGAGGACACCGAGACTCTTGAGACCAGGCCTTCGGCTATGGGAAGGACGAGAACCAACACCTGGGGTGCGTGTTTCCTCCCTCGGTGAGAGACACAGACGACGTAACAGGCAGAAGGAGAGGCTGAGGCCCGGAAAGGGGCAGGGGTCACTGGTGAGGCAGCAGCAGGGCAAAGGTGGGAAGACTGGGAGTCTAGGAGAGGCCCTGTCCTCTGTGGTCCCCGGGAGAGGCCCTGCCCTCTATGGTCCCCATAGCTCTGCCTTCTCACCCTCTGCAGAAGCTGACCTTAGACCTGACGGTGCTCCTGGGCGTGCTGCAGGGGCAACAGCAGAGCCTACAGCAGGGGGCACACTCCACCGGCTCCAGCCGCCTGCATGACCTCTACTGGCAGGCCATGAAAACCCTGGGAGTCCAGTAGGTTCTGGGAGGGGGACGCACACCTGGGGCGGGGGCTGGGAACACCCGCACGCTGCTGCACATGTACGCGCTCAAGCACATGCTCAGATGCGGGAGCCGTAGGCCTCTGGGGCCCCACAGGACCCAGGTGGAGGTGGCAGTGGCTGCTGCCCTCACTGGGCACCTTCTTCCCTTGCTCACTTCCCTTCAGGCGCCCCAAGTTGGAAAAGAAGGGTGCCAAGGAGGTCCCCAGTGCCACCCAGAGCCCTATCAGCAAGAAGCGGAAGAAAAAGGGATTCTTGCCAGAGACAAAGAAGCGCAAGAAACGCAAGTCAGAGGATGGCACGCTAGCAGAGGATGGCACACCTGTAGCCACCGGCGGGAGCCAGCCCCCCAGCATGGGCAGGAAGAAGAGGAACAGGACAAAGGCCAAGGTCCCGGCCCAGGCAAACGGGACGCCTGCCACCAAGAGTCCAGCCCCTGGCACCCCCACTCTGAGCCCCAGCACCGCTGCCAAATCCCCAAAACTGCAGAAGAAAAGCCAGAAGCCGTCCCAGGTGAATGGAGCTCCCAGGCCCCCCGTGGAGCCTGCGGGCCAAAAGCAGCCTCAGAAGGCTCTTCCCGAAAAGGGGGTCGTGGGCAAATCACCACTGTCTGCGCCGGCACGGAGAAAGGCAAGGCTGTCTTTGGTCAGCAGGAGTCCCAGCTTGCTTCAGAGCGGGGCCAAGAAGAAGAAAGCGCAGCTGAGGAAGGCGGGGAAGCCCTGAGCACAGGCACAGGCCACCCTCGGCCCCTGCCTCCATCTTGTCTGAGACTCCAATTTTTTTTTTTTTTTTTTAACCGTGATTTAATAGGCAAGCTGCTTCTATGGCGCTGGCTCTGCCACTGGGGAGGGTGTCTGTGGCCACCTGCCCAGGCAAGCACAGCCTAAGCCATTCCTGCAGGGGTCCCAGGGTGCAGAGACCTCCCCGTCCCCGGTTCTGGGCTGGGACCTTGGCTCCAGGGCCATGTCCAGGGCTCTGGTGTTCGCCTGGGTGGGTGCAGGTTGACGCACTGGCTGCAGGCTAGGTACAGGTGTGGCCATCACTCCTGCCTGCCACCCCCCCCCGTCCCCCGCCTCCAGGCCTTTCTGCTGTGAGGGAGCCACCAGGGAGTGATTTAAATAGGTTTATTTCTTCATTTACAAGAGGAATATATTTGGCTTCTCTCTTAAGACTCTGAGATTCACAATCAGCAGCCCTAAAAAATAAAGGAGCAGTTTGGCTTCCGGAAGGAAGAGGAGGCAACACTCGGACCTGGTTCTTGTACAACAAGAAAACATCGCTGGGGCCCTGCTGAGGCTGAGGCTGGTCTTTGGGGGATACCACCCCCACCCCATCCTCTTGTCAGACCCCCAGGGTACCCCAGAGCTTGGTGGGTGGGTGTTCCACTAGCTTACACACCACTGAAGCCACAGCCAGCCAGTAACTAAGGAGCAAGAAGAGCATTGTCCAAGCCGGCTCTTGGGGCCTCCTGTTGGCCACAAGGGCCCCACCCCCAGCACCAGAACCACCTCGATTGCAGCAGATGCGCAGGGAGTGTGTGACGCAGGAGGTAAGCTCCCCCAAAGTGGGTTGGGGCTGGTGTGAAGTTGGCAGCCGCATCCCGGTGTGTGCACGGATGGGACGTGGGTGATCGAAGGCCTGGCCCCCAGGGTCATTTGGTGGAATACCAGCGGGTAGGGCTGGCGTCTCCCGGGGGCCTCGGCCTCAGCTCTGGGGCAGGAAGCTTTGTGGATAGCTGCTTCCTCCAGCAGCCGGAGACCTGGCTGCTGCCCCACGGATTCTGGGAATGGTCTCCTGGGCCCTGCCCCTGGAAAAGGCTTGGCTCAGCCTCAGGGAGGGAGTGGGTTCCTGGCTTGGGGGGTGGTGGCAGGGAGAGGAGTCCTGTAGAGGTGGGCTGGTGTGTCCCTCCTAGAGCCCTCGAGCCTGGGGGCACAGGTGGTGTACAGCTGCAGCCAGGGCCTTCACCCCTGGTGATGCCAGCTTGTCAGAACAGTTCCCATCTGGGACCTCCAGGCTAGGAGCCAACCCGAGACAGTGAGTGTCCTCTAGAGAGACCAGCCAGGCCAGGGAGTACCCAGCCACTTGAGTGCCCAGCTTCAGTTGCCAGGTTGAGTCCGATATCCCCGAGGTCCGAGGCCCAGCTGAGAAGAAGTGGTCCCGCACACCAGGCCCTTACGTGAGCCTCAAAGCCGGGACTGCCGCCCTGAGGCCTGGGCCACCTGCTCTTTGTAAGGTCCAGGGTCTGTCGAGTCTTCAAAGCTGCAGATCCTGCTTTGCCCAGCAAGTTGTGTGGGAAAGTCCGGCCCCCTGGCCCTTCGTTCCAGGGAGGGCAGGGACTTGCCCAAGATCACATAAGCTGGTGGCAGGCCAGGCTCTCCCCGGACACCCACTTGGGGCTGTCTTCTTCCTTGGCCCCAGGGGCCCTGCAGCCCAAACCTAGGGCTGGGAATCTGTCCAACCATGTGGCTCCAACACACACATCCTTCCAGGGTAACTGAGGACACAGCCTCTTCTTGATGCCAGGGCCACTCAGCAGGCCCAGGCCAGAGAGGGGGGATGCCCAGCCGTGGATCACACACAAAGCTTTGGGGCAGCCCAGCCGGTCCCGGACGCTGTAGGACACCTCCCGGATGAGGTGGGAATGTGAGTTCTTCATTGTCCCAATGGCACCTGGGGAAAGGGGTGTTAGGTCAGAAGTGGGGCTTAGTGAGGCCTATTCCACGGCTGCCCTCCCTCCTTCCCTTTTCTTGCTGTTTGGAGACGCAGGCCTTCCCCTGGTCTTGGGGCTGTGACCCTGGCTCTGGTGCTGCTGGGAAGCTATAGCTCCCAGAGGGAAGGTCCAAGGAGTCAGGCCCTGGTACATCTAGGAGGATCTGGGAGAACAGAAGTCCGGACAGAGTGGGGAGTTCCTGGCCAGTCCTGGCCCTGACCTATGTGAGGCCCCACCCAGCCCTTGGAAGGAAGGAAAGGGGAGCTCATTTACTGGAAGGAGGAGCCTGCTGTCCCACCCATGGCTCCATCAGTAAATTCTGGCAACATCTTCAGAGACCAAGCCCAGGGTTGGTGGAATGTGCTGGGGCAGGAGGTGACTCCGAAGAAAAGTGCTCCCTGTCGCCTCACCCTGGCCTTCCCCCTTCCTCAGGGAGCCCCCGGGGGCCTCCCGGCCTGCACTCACCACCTCAGACTTTCACAGATGCGGGCGGCATCACCAGCTGGTTCACCCTGGGGGAGAGACGGGTGGGGGTCAGGGCGGCGCATCAGCGGGGGCCGGGCCCGGGCACTGCTCTGGCACATCGCGTCCTGGGGGCCAGCTGACCGGAGGTGCTGGGCAGGGACCTCGTCAGCCCCAGGGGGAGGTGGGAGAGCCCAGGGGTGGGGAGAGGAGAGAGAGACAGGAGTAAAGAGGAAAGGAGAAAAGTCAGAAAGTAAGAGGAAGGGGAGGGGGTCCCAGCTTTGAAAACCACTAAGTCCACAGCCAAACCCACGTCTGGACCCCCCGGACACCCCTGTGGGCCCCCCACAGCTCCAGGCTGACCTGGGGGCTGGACCCCAGCAACCAGGTCACCCACTGGGTGCATGGGAGGCCTGTACCCTCCCCACCCATCCCAGGGCAGGGCTCACAGGGGCTATCACGGTCCCTGCTTCCCAGCAGGCACAGCAGGCCTTCCCTCACCCCCACTCACTGCTGCTCAGCCTTGGCGCGGTCGCTGAGGAAGAAGAGAGCGGTGGCGAGGAAGAACATGCCACCCAGGACCACGACGAAGGGGCAGAGCATGAGCGCGTAGCCCAGGCTCAGGAACTCCCAGAGCGGGGAGTCCTTGGTGCTCTGGCGGATCAGGTCTGAGATCTGTGAGGATTTGGGGGTGGATGTCAGGGCAGAGCCCTCCTGAAGCCCCCCAACCTCCCCAGGCCAGCCCCACCCCAGGGTTACTCACAAAGCCAATGAGGTAGGGGCTCCCGGCATCCCCCAGCAGGTGGGAGGTGAAGCTCTGCAAGGCCACAGCAGTGGCCCGCCGGGTGGGGATGACCACGTACTGTGGAACAGGCAGGCAGGTCAGCGGCCAGAGGAGCCAGGCCCACCCGCCTGGCCCCAGCCCCGGGCCATGGCGCTTCTAAAGCCTCCACACCCTCAGACTCTCCCCTGCCCTGGATCTTGACACCTCTCCCTGCTGGGCCGTACCTCCTCCCCCACCAGTCACCCCTCTCCTCCCTGAGCCCCTTCCACACACAGCTGCAGTCACCCCCTCAGCCCCAGGGGCTTCCACACCTTCAACCCAGACCACTGTAGCCTGCCCCAGACCGGAAGCATCACTGGCCTCAAACCTGCTGCGCCCCCAGGACACCCCTCAGAAATGACAATCTTCACCTCCCTCCCAGCTACATGCGGTCAAGGGAGGATACTTTGGGGGTTGCGCGGGTGCCAGTCACTAGAGGCCATTAGCCCGGAGGCCTCCAAGTCTTGGAGTACCCAAGACATCAGGAACGGCCGCGCTGCCACCTTCCTGGGGTGGCTCCTGCTCCATTCCTGAGACCAGGGTGCCTTGGCTTCTGCCCTTGGCCCTGGGTCATGGGGACACTGAGATCCAGAGAGGCACATGTTCCCGAGAGAACCCGAACCCCAGCCGTGGCCATTTGTCCTCACCTCCCAACAAGCTAAAGACCCATCTTGGTTCCTTCCCCTCCCTGAAGACCAAGTGAGGCCTTGACTGGCCTGGGACGGGAGCTGGCCCCTCACCCATGGGCACCCTCAGCACTGAATGCCAGGCCCTGCTGGGCCCCAGACCCACAGGAGCTTTGCTTCAAAGCTGGGCAGGCCCGAGTCAGGAGGGGCTGGGGTGGAGGTGGGATGGGCACAGCCAGCTCTGTGGTGCCCAGGCAGCCCCTGTGCCCCGAACTCCGGCTGCCTTGCCTCCTCGGAGCGCCAGCCTTAGTGGGCATTGTGTGCAAGCAGCCAGCACCCACGGGGCATCCCGTTACCGGAGGTGGGGGCGGGTAGAAAAAGGCCTGAGCCTGATGAGACGAGTGACCCCATTTCCAGCAGGAATAAGCTGTGACACTTAATAAACTGGGACACGATTTCCCTAGGACCCTGACCCTGCCGGCAGTTGTCAGGGGCTCCCTGGGGGTGGACGCAGGGGAGGGGCCGTGCCCAGCACCAAGAGCACCTGATCCACAGACTCACTCCTCCCTTCACGCTGGGCCTGTGCAGTGACCCTGGCACACCCCTGCCACCGCCCCAGCCCATGGACTCAGGAGGACACAGTGACACCCCGGGGGTAGCGGAGATGCTGGGAGGCTTGGGGTGGGGTGAGGCAGGCTTCCCGAAGTGCAGGAGCCATGGTCCCTGGCAGACTCATCTCTGGGGCTATGCCATGCTGGGGTGCCCAACCCCGAGCACCCTGAGAGTCCACCCCTGAGTCCTCCATCTCTCTGCCCCAGAGCCTGCCCCGACACCTCCCAGATACTCTCCCCTGGCCACGGGACCAAGTGTCACACTCCTGCCACCCCCAGATGGCCACAAATCCCTAGCCCCTGCTGGCTGCTCAGACAGCCCTTTGTCCCTGGCTGGCTGGTCTAGAGCCCATTGTTGGCCCTGTGAAGACAGCCTCTGTCCGCCCGGCCCCAGCCGCAGGCACTCGGGCAGGCACGCCTGGGAGCCAGGCTGAGCAGGGGGCAGAGCCCATGGATGCTCAGACCCGGTGGGGGGGGGGGGGCGGGTTGGGAGGAGTGCTGGCAGGCAGCACCACCTCAGTGCCAGCCTGGCACTGCCAGCCTCCCAGACACTAACCTGAGCCTCGAGCCACCCTCTCCCACTCGGTCCCCACATCGCGCTCTGCCTGCCCAACCCTGTTTTCCTGCCCTGTCTGGAGGCCGACCCCAAACTCTGATCCCCTCCCTGCCTCTGGGTTCATATTCCTGGCAGGCCTGCCTTCCCCACCACCCACTTCCAGCTCTCCCACCCCCTCACCGGCCCTCCCCAGCCACCCCTGTGAGGTCAAGAGGTCTGGGTCCGCAGCACAAGGTGACCTCGGCCTGCCTGGCTCACCATGAGGATGTCTGCAGTGATGGCCCAGTTAGAAAACAGCAGCGTCTCCCCGACGAAGATACAGATCTGCCCAGGAGAATGCAAAGCCACCATCAGGGGTGCCTCCATCCACAGCAGCTGCAGCCTGCTCCCTACACACTGGCTGCTGGCAGGGAGCCCATGAATCCTCACCCCTCCCAGGCCCACATCCATTCATGGGCTAACCAGACACCAAGCCATCCCTGCGGCCCTGAGACACCAGAGGCCCTGGACAGGCCGTGGCCAGGCTGAGGATGAGCAGGGGCAGCCAGAGATCAGCAGCCTCCCTGAGGGAAGGGAACGTCCAGCAAATCAGACCAAATGTCCTATTCCAGACCCTCCCGTGGCCCAGGTCCAGCTTCCCTGCACCCTTGCCCCCCGACTGCACTCACATAGGCCCCTACGATGCTGCTCTTGGCAGCCACGAAGATCAGGCAGATGAAGATGGCAGAGCCCAGCATGCCCACGGCACACACCAGTGGGTCGGCCCGCTGGGTCTTCAGGCGGCACCAGCGCGTGGCTCCTGCACCCGTGACCACACCCAGAAAGCCCGTAAAGCAGGTGATGGCCCCAAAGATGAGACTGTGGGGACAGAGGACGGTGGGGCATGAGTTGAGGGGGCTAAGGCTGAGGAGCTCTCCTGTCCGAGGTCCCTCGCCAGCCCCGGGCCCACCCCGCGGGCCCCACCTGTCCTTGGCTCCACAGGGCGGGCTGTTGCACGTCTCCGCTGTCTTCTGCACAACTTGGGCGCGGTGCAGGTAGAGCGGGATCCACATGCCCAGGGCCCCTGTGGCGAAGGAGACAGCCGACGTGGCCAGGGAGGAGAAGACGTAGCTGCGGCTGGGGAGAGGCCAGGCAGTGACACTGAGCTCAGGGACCTCCTTCAGCCCCCATAGGCACCCCCTGCACTGGGGAACAGGAGGCCCCGAATGCCTCATCTTACAGGCTCCAGGGATGAGGGTTCAGGCTGCAGGAATAATTGATTCTAGGGGCCAAAATGTCCCCCCTAGCACTGAGGCAGCAGAGGTGGTGGGGTGTCTGGCTGAGGGTGCTGGGGGGCTGCCCTGCAGGGAGAGGCCTTCTCATCTCAGCACCCTTCCCTCTTCCCACCAGACCCCTTCCCAGGTACTCACTTTCGAATCAGGGCCTTCATATCTCGGAGCCATGAGGTCCGGGTCTTGAGCTGGTCCCCGAGCTGGTCAGCATGGCCCCTTTTAGTGGCCGGGACCAGGATGAGGATGAGTGTTCCTGTGATCATGCCCAGGACAGGGGACACCTGCCAGGGAGCAGGAAGTTAGGACACCAGGGCCCAGTGAGGCTCGTCCCTGCTGCAGGAGGAGGGACTCGGGCAAGCCGTGCCTTCTCTAGGCCCTAGGGGTCTCCTCTGAGCTGGTATCTGCCCAGTCTTCCTAACTGGGCTGCTGAGAAAAGCTGGGGCAGGCCGGGTGCGGTGGCTCAAGCCTGTAATCCCAGCACTTTGGGAGGCCGAGACAGGTGGATCACGAGGTCAGGAGATCGAGACCAGCCTGGCTAACACGGTGAAACCCCGTCTCTACCAAAAAAGACAAAAAACTAGCCAGGCGAGGTGGCGGGCGCCTGTAGTCCCAGCTACCCGGGAGGCTGGGGCAGGAGAATGGCGGGAACCCGGGAGAAGGAGCTTGCAGTGAGCTGAGATCTGGCCACTGCACTCCAGCCTGGGCGACAGAGCGAGACTCTGTCTCAAAAAAAAAAAAAAAAAGAAAAGAAAAGCTGGGGCTGAGGTCAGTCAAGAGACTGGAGGCTTGAGAAGGACTGTCCAGACCAGGGGCAGGACCAGAATGGGGAGGATACAGGGAAGCCGGGCAGACTGAAGGAAGGAGGAGGGGTGGGTGAGTGGAGCGGTGGATGGATGGATGGAGAAGAGAGGGCTGAAGAGGTGGATGGAGAGATGGACAGAGAGAGAGGGAGGGAGGGACGGACGGATGGACAGACGGATGGATGGACAGATGAATGGAAGATAAGTAGCCAGATGGGATGACTTTCAGGGAGGAGATAATTCCTGGAGAAGGTTCCCCATGTAGGTTCCTCAGTCGCGGGGCCCTGGGAAGGTGCTGTCCGGGTATGAAGTGTTGGACTGACAGATCAGGTGGGCTGGCATTTGGTGGGGGGCCCATGCAGGCCCCACAGAGGCTCATGAGCCCTTTTGGATCTTCCCTGTGTCCAGCCCATTTTCCAGAACAGAACTTCCAAGGCCCCAGGCTTCTCTCCGGATGGGAGGGTGACATCCTGGCAGCCTGGATTCCATCTCACCAGCCCCACAGAACAATTTCCCGCATGCCCCCGGGACTGGGAGCCCCTGGGCTGGGGAGTTCCTCTGCCTGCGGCCTCCCTCTCGCCCCCCCACCTGTCCCCCCCCCCACACTAAGAAATTCCACGGAGGCCACTTCCTTCCTGCTTTTAGGAAAAAACACTTTGTCTTAAGCTTCCGCTCCTCCGAGAGACTGGGGATTTCTGTTTCCTCCGATTGCACTGTCCTGGGGCCTTGGTAACTTGCCCCAAACCCAGCGAGACAGGAAGTGGCTCCAGACCCTGGGGCCCCCACACAGAGGTCTTGTCCCAGCCTTACCCTAGCACAGTGCCAGGGCTGGAAGCAGGAAGCTCCGCCACGGACCTGGAATTTCCTGACGTGGTGGGAGAATCCTTGATTCTCTCAACCTGGGACTCCCGGGCGGGAGATTCCAACCCTCAGCCTGGGGGCCCTGAGGGTGGCAGGGCTGTGTCTGGCTCTGACACCTCAATCTGGACTCGTCTGGAAGGGCAGGGATTTCAGAGTCCAGGCAGCTGGGGGAGGAATCTTGGAGGTCTGTGTCCTAGCCTGGGATACATCTCTGGGCAACCGTGGGGCGAGATCTGGACTGAAGAGTGTCCTCGTGGGAAGGGACGTAGGCCTTACCCGCAATGCCCAGTGCCAGTCTCCGGCTGCCTGCTTCACGCTGGAGCCAGTGATGTAGCCCAGGCCACTGCAGAGAAGAGAGACACGTCAGGCTGAGCAGAGACACGGGCTGGGGACAGGGAGTGCCTGCTGGTCTGCAGGGCAGGCTGCCCACCCTCCCCACCCAGCCAGCTGGCCAGGGAGCAGGTCCAGGCATTTCTCAAAGGCTGATCACCTACATGTTTAGTTCTCTGAGGGCGCCCACCTGGGCCAGAACCCCAGGGAGTGGGAGCACTCAAAAGTCCAAGGGAACCTTGCCCAGATCCTCACCCAGCCCCTGGCATCTCCGGCTCTCACCTGCCCAGTGGGATGGCGAAGTAGAAGACGGACAGCATGAGCGTACGCGTGTTCTTGGTGAAGAGGTCGCCAATGATAGTGGGGGCGATGGTGGAGTAGCTGGCCTCACCGATGCCCACCAGCCCCCGGGACAGGACCAACAGCCAGAAGTACTGTGGGGAGGGGTGGAGGATACTGGGGGACCAGCTACCCATTGTCTGCCTCTCATCCCTTGTTCCCACTTTGCTCCCTCCCCCTGCAGGGCCCAGGAGCCAGGAGAGAGAAGGGTGAGGGTGCTGGTGGGCTGCACCTCCGTAAAGACCACCTCCCCGGGCCACTCCGGGCCTCAGTTTGCCCCTCTGTGTAGTGGGTCTGACGGGGCCAGGACTATCCCAGCTTGAGAGTGGTATGGCCCAGGCAGGCCCCTCTGTCCTCATAGGCACTGGGGACACAAGCCTATGTCTCCACTACTCCACCAACTGGGAGACCTCCTCCCTGGTTCTGACTCCACATCGGGAGCCTCAAGCCACCACCCTCCACTCTGTCCCTCCCCCAAGCCGGGTGGCTGGGCCAGCCCTGGCAGCACGGAGGGCCCAGTGTGGAGTGGGGAGTGGGCAGGGTAGCCCAGGGGACCCAGAACCCCCCCGCCATATACATCAAAGGGCAAAGCCTGGCTGAGCGGGGAAGGGTGGGGCCCTGCCAGCTGCTGGTAGCATGACCCCTTTGATGTGGACCTGCTCCCTCCATGCCCCAGCTGCCCGGGGCCTGAGAACCCAGCCTGGTCATCTTTCCCCAGCCCCACCCTGGCCACCCATCTGGCCAGCATCGCCCACGTCCAGCCCTCCCCCGGGTCTCCCTGACTTCCCTCCATCTGCTCACCTCGTTCCTGGCTGCTGTGCCTGCAGGTGCTGCCTGCGTTGGCCCATCTCTGACCCCTTCATGCTTGTCTCTCCTCCTCCTCCCTCTCCCCATCTCCCTATTTGCCCTTAGCTCCTCGCCTCTGTTTCTCTTCCTGGCAATCACCTGCCTACAGCCTTGGCCTGTTTTTCTGTTGGGTCATTTGTCTCTTTTGCATTAATTTCTTCTTTTTCTTCTTTTCTTTTTTTTTTTTTTGAGACGGAGTCTTGCTCTGTTGCTCAGGCTGGAGTGCAGTGGCGCGATCTCACTTACTGCAACTTCTGCGCCCCGGGTTCAAGTGATTCTCCTGCCTCAGCCTCCTGAGGAGATGGGATTATAGGCACCCAGCACCACACCCAGCTAATTTTTGAATTTTTGTAGAGATGGGGTTTCGCCATGTTGGCCAGGCTGCTCTTGATCTGCCTGCCTCTGTCTCCCAAAGTGCTGGGATTACAGGCGTGAGCCACCACATCCGGCCCTCTGTGTGCTTTTAAAGAACAAACATGAGGCTGGGCATGGGGGCTCATGCCTATAATCCCAGCACTTTAGGAAGCTGAGGCAGGAGGACTGCTTGAGGCCAGGAGTTCGAGACCAGCCTGGGTAACATAGCAAGATCTTATCTCTACAAAAAATTTGAAAATAAGATAAAAATCAGGCCAGGCATGGTGGCTTACACCTGTAATCCCAGCACTTTGGGAGGCCAAGGCAGGTGGATCACAAGGCCAGGAGTTCAAGACCAGCCTGGCCAAGACATTGAAGTCCCTTCTCTACTAAAAATACAAAAGTTAGCCGGGCATGGTGGCGGGCGCCTGTGATCCCAGCTACTGGGGAGGCTGAGGCAGAGAGTTGCTTGAACCCAGGAGGCGGAGGTTGCAGTGAGCCAAGATTGCACCATTGCACTCCAGCCTGGGTGACAGAGCAAGACTCCATTTCAAAATATGTATATATATATATTTATATGTATGTCAGCAGGACATCATGGTGCATCCTAGCTACTTAGGAGACTGAGACAGGAGGATCAATTGAGCCCAGGAAGTCAAGCCTGCAGTGAGTTATTATCACACCACTGCATATCAGCCTAGGTGACAGAGCGAGACCCAGTTTCAAAAACACATTTAAGGCTGGGTGTGGTGGGCTCACACCTGTAATCCCAGCACTTTGGGAAATCAAGGCGAGTGGATCACCTGAGGTCAGGAATTCGAGACCAGCCTGGTCAACATGGCGAAACCCCATCTCTACTAAAAATACAAAAATTAGCCAGGCGTGGTGGCGGGCACCTATAATCGCAGCTACACAGGAGGCTGAGGCAGGAGAATCGCTTGAACCTGGTGGTGGGGGAGAAGGTGGCAGAGGTTGCAGTGAGCCAAGATTGTGCCACTGCACTCCATCCTGGGCGAAAGAGCGAAACTCAGTCTCAAAACAAACAACATTTAAAAATAAAATGAACATGAAAGGAAACCCTCCATGTATCTTATCCTGTAACTTGCTTTTGCCCCCTCATTCTTATTTATTTATTTATTTTTTGAGACGGAGTCTCGCTCTGTCGCCCAGGCTGGAGTGCAGTGGCCGGATCTCAGCTCACTGCAAGCTCCGCCTCCCGGGTTCACGCCATTCTCCTGCCTCAGCCTCCCGAGTAGCTGGGACTACAGGCACCTGGCTACCTCGCCCGGCTAGTTTTTTTCTACTTTTTAGTAGAGACGGGGTTTCACCGTGTTAGCCAGGATGGTCTCGATCTCCTGACCTCGTGATCCGCCCGCCTCGGCCTCCCAAAGTGCTGGGATTACAGGCTTGAGCCACCGCGCCCGGCCCTCATTCTTATTTTTTTGAAACCCATTTATGCTAGTTAATTAAGATCTAGTTCATTCTTTTCCTATTGAGTCTCACAGGGCCGGGCACGGTGGCTCACGCCTATAATTCCAGCACTTTAGGAGGCTGAAGTGGTAGGATCACCTGAGGTCAGGAGTTCGAGACTAGCCTGGTCAACATGGTGAAACCCCATCTCTATTAAAAATACAAAAATTAGCTGGGTGTGGTGGCGGGCGCCTGTAATCCCAGCTACTTGGAAGGCTGAGGCAGGAGAATCACTTGAACCTGGGAGGTGGAGGTTGCAGTGAGCCGAGATTGTGCCACTGCACTCCAGCCTGGACAACAAGAGCAAAACTCTGTCTTGGAAAGAGTAATATATACCATTAAACTGTGCGCACCAGTGATGGTTGTTTAGATTGCTTTTTTTCTTTTTTTTTTTTTTTGGTATTACTGTTCTTCTTACATGCATGTATCTACAAGAGAGAAACAAGAGTTTCTCTCTTGAGTGTATACCCCAAGCAGAAGGCTGGGCCATGGGAGATACACAGAGTTTTACAATATCCTGCCATTTCGCTCTCCAAAGAGGTTCTACCAATTTACACTCCCACCAGCAGGGCTGGAGTCCCCACAGCTTTGATCACACTTGGTACTGTCAGCCTTTTTAATTGTTGCCAATCTGACGGGTGTGAAATGGGATCTCATTGTTGTTCTAATTTGCATTTCCCTGATGACTAGAGAAGCTGAGCACCGTCTCTTCCGACATGTATTGGCCATTTGGGTATTTTCTCCTGAAACTGTAGCTATCTCTTGCCCATTTTTCTACTGAGTTATTTGTCTTTTTCTTGTTGATTCATAGTTATAGATTTTTTTTTTTTTTGAGACAGAGTCTCGCTCTGTCACCCAGGCTGGAGTGCAGTGGCATGATCTCGGCTCACTGCAAGCTCTGCCTCCCGGGTTCACACCATTCTCCTGCCTCAGCCTCCAGAGTAGCTGGGATTATAGGCACCTGCCACCACGCCCGGCTTTTTTTTTTTTTTTTTTTTTGTATTTTTAGTAGAGACGGGATTTCACCGTGTTAGCCAGGATGGTCTTGATCTCCTGACCTCGTGATCCGCCCGTCTCAGCCTCCCAAAGTGCTGGGATTACAGGCGTGAGCCACCGCACCCAGCTTATGTTCTAGATTTTAAGAGCATGCTTTTTGCTTTACTTTCCCCTTTTGGGACTTTATTCTGCAGGACGGTTTGAAACACAGGCCAAACTTTTCTTTCAATCCAGTTGGATACACAGTTCTTCCCAAACCACTCATTTGAGATGCAACTTTCATCCTATACTAAATCCCCGTAGAAATGAGGACTCTGGCTCATTGATCTTAGTCCATCCCTCTGCTGTTTTAGTTAGAATCGCTGTATTTTGATAACTGAGAGGCAAATCCCCTTTCACTGTTATTTTTTTCACAATGTTCTTGGCTATTCCTGGGCATTTTCTCTGCCAAATTAACTTCAGAATCACATTGCCAAGGTCTACCAGAAACCCCCATGGGATGCAAATTGTGACTGCAATGAATTTATGGCTTCAATGGAGGTGACCTGTTTCTCCCTCTGCCTTTGCTTATCTTCCCTCCCCTTCCACACACCCGGAGATGGACCCAGACCTGGCATGGTGGTCCTAGACTTACTGGTCAGTCCCAGGAGCAGCCTCAGAGGTTGGTGACCAGGGGCCTGGCCAGGGGCAAGATGAGGCCCTGAGGGGCCTTAGAGGCCTCTGGTCCAGTCCTTCCTTTTGACTGTGGCCTCCAGGCTCTGCTTGCCATCCTGGGCCTGGAGCTTTACCTGACCTGACCCTCCTCTGTGAAGCTGCCCATGAAGGAAGGATGTCCTTGGCAAACCTGCTGATTCTCTCTGCCCTCCCTCCAGAGTCCCTACCATCAACCCAAATCTGACCCCGCCACTGTTCTTCAGACTTTTCCAGAGCTCAGCACTGCCACAGAAGGAAGCCCAGGCCCTCTAGCCTGGCATTCAAGGTTCTCCATGACCCAGTCCCTGCTTTCTTTACAGTGAGAATGCAATCCTCAATCTTTTTTTTTTTTTTGAGATGGAGTTTTGCTCTTGTCACCCAGGCTGGAGTACAGTGGCACGATCTCTGCTCACTGCAACCTCCACTTTCCGGGTTCAAGCGATTCTCCTGCCTCAGCCTCCCAAGTAGCTGGGATTATAGGCATGCACCACCATGCCTGGCTAATTTTTGTATTTTTAATAGAGATGGGGTTTTTCCACGTTGGCCAGGCTGGTCTCGAACTCCTGACCTCAGGGGATCCACCTGCTTCGACCTCCCCAAGTGCTGGGATTACAGGCACGAGCCATCACACCTGGCCCAATCCTCAGCCTTTCAACATACTCCACCATTTCTGCATCTGTGTGTTGACTCCCTCTGCCCATGCTACCTTCACCAAAAGGTCTAATCTCACAGTCCCGCCTGCCCAGCGCAAATGCCACCTCCTCCAGGAAGGCTTCTCTGACCCCATGGATTTCAAGAGACTGCTGTCTCTTTAGTGAGGACTCTCAGCACTTTTTCTGCACCTCTTGAAGGCTCTGAGCACAGGTGCTCCTGTCAAATCTTCCTACCCCGAAGCCTGGGTGCTCCCAAGGACAGAGCTATCCTGAAAGCTCCTTGGAGACAGATCATGCTCTCCCCTTCTTCCTTCATCTTTCTCTACAGCAGTCATCATGTGATTGCCACTGTCTGCTTGAATATGCCTCGAGATGGGAAACTCACTACCTAACAAGGCAACGGTCTCATCTCTGGAAGGAGGAACAGAAACAATGACTCGCCGGGCACTCAACCTGTTCCAGGGTCTGGACCTTCACAGCTCAGCTGCTTCTCATGGGAAACCTTCAAGTTGGGAAGTATTATCCCCATTTTAAAGATGAGGAAACTGAGGCTCAGAGACATTAAGAGTACGTTCTTCCAGGTCACAAAGCTAAGTAGGCAACAAAGTTGGGATATTCAAGCCCAGGCCTGTGGGAGCTAAATGAGAAGACTCTTGTTTGTGTTGAATTGATGTTTGCTTCTCTGGGATGTCGACCCAAGAAGTTAGCTGGTCATCAGACCAAGTGCAAACTGAGCAAGAACCAGAGAGGGGTAGTGACTCCCCCAGGGTCACAAAGCCAGGTAATGGCAGAGCCAGGACTAGGACGCAAGGCCCTCACTCCTAGGCCAGACTTGTTCTTTGCATCCATCCCAAATCAGAGGGCCACTCGGAGGAGTCAGGAGGCCACATGGGCTGGAAGGCTCTCAGGTCAGAGGCCAGTGTGGGGAAGGCCCCAGCTAGAGGACTGGTTTACAAAAGTACCCGAAGGCCACCTCATCCTTCTGCACTGGGAAGACAGTGGGGTTCAAGCAGAGGAGCTGGAAGCCCCGGGCTGGATTAACACCAGCCAGTAAGACTGGCCACTCGCCGGAGGGAGCAGGACACCGGTCGGGGGAGAAGCCTGGGCGGGCCTCACCTGCTGGGGAATGAAGGAGCTGGAGAAGGTGACGGCCGACCAGAAGAAAATGCCACAGCTGAGAATCACCTTCCTGTTGAAGCGGTCGCCCAGGTAGCCGAAGATGGGGGCAGCCACCATGAAGCTACAGATGAACACTGCAGGGAGAGGAGAGCTTGAGGGCCAGCCCAGGTCCCTGCACCCCAGCCTCCCGGCCCATTTCACGCCAGCTCGAGGCCAAGCGTTTGTGCAGCAAAGGGACCAAGGAAGCAGCCCAGAGAGGCAGCCTCAGCCCGAGCTGCACCTCAGGAAGGTGGGAAAGGCCTTGCGAGGTCAGGCACATCCATGACGCCATCCTCTCCCATGTATGTCCAGTTCGTCCGGTTTGTCCAGGTTTGGGTGAGCCCTTTGGGTACTTTTTAAAAGAGCAAAGATCTATTTATTGAATGTTTTCTACACGCCAGACACTATGCTAGGGACTTACCATGTCGTATCTCACTTATCTTTTTAAAATTTTTAAAAATTTTTATTGTTTTGAGACAGGGTCTTGCTGTGTCACCCAGGCTGGAGTGCAGTAGCATCATCTTGGCTCACTGCAACCTCCATCTCCTGGGTTCAAGAGATTCTTATACCTCAGCCTCCTGAGTAGCTGGCATTACAGGCATGGGCCACCACGCTTGGCGGATCTTTGTATTTTACTACAGATGGGGTTTTGCCATGTTGGCCAGGCTGGTCTCCAACTCCTGGGCTCAAGTGATCCACCCACTTCAGCCTCCCAAAGTGCTGGGATTACAGGTGTGAGCCACTGTGCCCAGCTATATCTCATGTATCTTTTTTTTTTTTTTGAGACGGAGTCTCACGCTGTTGCCCAGGCTGGAGTGCAGTGGTGTGATCTCAGCTCACTGCAAGCTCCGCCTCCCGGGTTCCCGCCATTCTCCTGCCTCAGCCTCCTGAGTAGCTGGGACTACAGGCGCCTGCCACCGCGCCCGGCTAATTTTTTGTATTTTTAGTAGAGACGGGGTTTCACTGTGGTCTCGATCTCCTGACCTTGTGATCCGCCCGCCTCGGCCTCCCAAAGTGCTGGGATTACAGGCTTGAGCCACCGCGCCCGGCCTCTCATGTATCTTTGTATCTCATGTATCACGTACCTTTCCAGCCCCCTCCCACCCCACAGATGTGGAGACACACTCAGAGGAAGAGCGACTTGCCCAAGACCCCCCAGGCAATATGTTCCAGTGGGGATCTGACCCCAGTTGCCTGACTCCAGAGCCTGTGTTCCTTATACGTTACCACACTGCACTTCTTATTCTACTTGAGAACAGAGGTCAGAGAGGGGAAGGGATCGACGAAAGGTCACACAGCAAATCAGGGCAGAACTGGGCCTGGAACACCCGATTTCACACCTGCCAGACCACACAGCTGCCCTCGATCCCAGCGCACTGCAGGGCCTTTCCTAATGGCTGAAAACAGTCATCCATCCGTCCATCCTTCCATCCTGTCATTCAACAACAACAATTTTTTTGTACCTACAAGGCACCAGGAACCGTTTTAGGTGTTCGGGATACATCAATGAACAAGAGAGACCCCATGGAGCTTTCACTGGAGTGAGGAGAAGCAGACATTAAAGAAATAAACAAATCGATAACACGGCCTGTCAGACGGTGGGAGGGGCTGACACAGGAGCGTGGAAGGGTGTGTGTGAGAGCAAGTGGATGCCACAATTTTACATTTTTTGAAACAAGAGTCTCACTCTATCACCCAGGCTGGAGTGCAATGGCACAATCTCGGCTCACTGCAACCTCCGCCTCCTGGATTCAAGTGATTCTTCCACCTCAGCCTCACGAGTACCTGGGATTACAGTCATATGCCACTGTGCTCTGCTAATTTCTGTATTTTTAGTAGAGACGGGGTTTCACCATGTTGGCCAGGCTGGTCTCCAACTCCTGACCTCAGGTGATCTGCCTGCCTCGGCCTCCCAAAGTGCTGGGACTACAGGCGTGAGCCACTGCGCCCGGCTGAGAAATTGATTGATATAGGTAGCTTAGCTGGTGTTTTGTTTGTGAGACTGCGTCTTGCTCTGCTGCCCAGGCTGCTGGAGTGCAGTGGCGCGATCTCCGCTCACTGTAACCTCTGCCTCCCAGGTTCAAGCAATTCTCCTGCCTCAGCCTCTTGAGCAGCTGGGATTACAGGTGCCTGCCACCATGCCCAGCTAATTTTTGTATTTTTAGTAGAGACAGGGTTTCTCCATGTTGGCCAGCCTGGTCTCGAACTCCTGACCTCAGATGATCTACCTGCCTTGGCCTCCCAAAGTGCTGGGATTACAGGCATGAGCCACTGCACACGGCCACCACAATTTTAAATAGAGCAGTCAGAGAAGGGGATATTTCAGCCAGGACCTGGAGGAGGTAAGGAAACAAATCATGCAATTATTGGGGCAAGAACAGCAAGTGCGTATGCCCTGGGGCAGCAGTTTACTTAGCATGTCGGAGGAACAGGAAGGAGGCTGGGGTGGGGCCCCAGAGCCCACTGTGATGACTGTGACGTCCATGGGTGAGAAAGGAAAACATGAGGGGATGCTGAGCAAAGGCCGTGACCTGGCTTTGTTCTTCCAGAACAAGAGGTTTGGAAGACTCCACAGGGAGGCCACTGCCAGTGATGGGAGGGGCCTGGGAGGCCCCAGGTGGGATGAAGAGGCCCAGAGCAAGGCAGGGTAGACCCTAGGTCACACAGCGAGGTGGCCCCCCATTCCTCCCCCTAGAAAGCAGTCCCATAGCTGATGGGCAGATGGCCAGACAAAGGCTGGGAGCGGCAGACATGGCAGCCAGTTGGCCTCTGACCGCCAGGCTGAACGTGTGTGTAGCCCCGGCTGCTCCTCCATGGGCCTGAGACCCTGGCGAGATGGGACCTGAGAGAAGAGAAAGAGGGAGGGAGGGAGGAGGAAAAGAGAGAGGTGAAGGAGAGGTGAGAGAGCTGGGCAGAGCTCCCCTGAACCTGGCTGGAGGAGTGACTACCCCTCTCTTACGCGAGCAAGAACAGGTCAGCGAGTGTGCATGGGTGGTGGGTGTACAAGCAGACCTGTTAATTCCAGAGGCCTTGGGTAGAATCAGCATGCGGGTACACAAATCCGGGCATGAGACACACACCCTGGGCTCAAATTCACCTCTGCTCCCTCCCGGCCAGTGACCTCAGTCAGGCCACAGCCTTTCTGTGTCTCACCTTCAGTGGTGTGCTGATAAATGTTTAACTGGCTCTGAAAAAGGGGCAAGAGGAGCCCTGATGTAGCATGTTTGCTTTTTTTTTTTTTTGAGATGGAGTTCTGCTCTTGTCGCCCGGCTGGAGTGCCATGGCGCCATCTCGGCTCACTGCAACCTCCTCCTCCCGGGTTCAAGCGATTCTTTTGCTTCAGCTTCCTGAGTAGCTGGGATATAGGTGCCCGCCACCACGCCCAGCTAATTTTTGTATTTTTAGTAGAGATGGGATTTTGCCATGTTGGCCAGGCTGGTCTCAAACACCCTGACCTCAGGTGATCCTCCTGCCTCAGCCTCCCAAAGTGCTGGGATGACAGGCGTGAGCCACCGCGCCCGGCTGTGTTTGCTCATTTCTGTGGTGTAAACGCTCTGCCCTGGCTGAGTTCAGGCTGCCCACATCATGTCACTGATGGGCGTTGGAAAGGGATGTGCAGAAACATGCCATTGTCCAATGTTTCTACCACACAAATAGAATAGACGCCACTCACCATAGGAACACAGATAACGCCTAAACACAGCCAAACAATTAGGAAGTGAGGACTTTTGAGTAGTTATTACCTTTGTTTCTGATTATTTAATTGTAAGCTGATATCATTTAGTTTTTAACAATGGTTGTATTTTACGACCAGCTCACACACCATTCCTGAAATGTTAACAATTGACTCTCACGAGCCGGCCCGAGCCAGCGCCAACATCCTCGTCTGTAAAATGAAGATAAAAATAGCCACTCTCCAGGGTGGGTCTGGGTGCTGGATAGCACGTGCAAGGTGCTTAATGCCACACCCTGCCCAGAGCGGGCCGGCCTTGGTCAACACTGGGCCCTTGTTTAAATTAGTCAAGGCAGAAATTATTTCCTCACATCTAGAAAAGGAATTTTTCCTGCTGGGCCTGCCTCCAAGGGCCTGCCCGAGATCAGATCAGAACGTGGCAGGAGGGAGATTTCCAATTGCATCAGGACTGACACATGTGAGGAGGAGGAGGAACTGTTTTCTCTGTGCTTGTCTGTGCTAGGTGGGGAGCCGACAGAAAGCATCAGAAGAGAAGTTGCCCCCTGTCTGGTCAGCGGCAGATCCTGTTCATAGGTCGCTCTGTTTAAAGGACAACCTATGCTGGGGAACCACCAAAGAGCTCCAGATCCTGCCAGGATAATGAAGAGAGGCTTCCTGGAGGTGGTGGCGTCAAAGCTGGGCACTGAAGCATGCATAGAAGTTTACTGTTACGATAATACTTAACATCAGTAATACACACTGAAATATAAACTTCAGATCTTACGAGCAATATTATATAATGGCTCATGAGGCATCTGATGCTTAGTGTTCATAATAACTGCAGTTAGTATCATGGAGCACTTATTATAGGCAAGGCCCAGGATACAGACTTGACATATGCACAGATGATCTCATTGGATTCTGTTCTCTTCATTTTACAGAGGGGACAATAGAGGCCACAAGAAGTGATGTCACACAGCCAGTGTGCGGCTGAGCCAGAATTTAAACCCCAATTTGGCAGACTCCAGAGTCCTTGCTCTAAATCACTCCACAGACTGCCATGCTGGGAAGGGGGAAGGTCCCAGCTGATGTTCCCAAGGTCAGGGGAAGTTCAGGGCCTGTTGAGGACAGCAAGGAGACAGGTCAGGCCATGGCCTGAGGATGCTGAAGAGGAAGTAGCGAGAGACCAGGCTGTGGAGGGAGGACTGGGCTCAAGACCAGGACAGGATTTGGTGTTTAGAAGGTGACAGAGAACCACAGCGCACTCTCTCTACCCCGCCCCCCAACGCCATGGTGGGACCCTTGAAAAAGCCCCCTACCCAGGGAGGTGAAGAAGGGCTGGAGGGACGTGACCCAGACCTTCGCCAGAGCCCGGCCATCATGCTCCATTCTCCCCTCTTGCCCGCAGTGGAACAGGAAGCA